TGGCGGACAGTTCCCTTCGATATCACAATACCGACGTATCCGCCTAAAAAATTAATTATACAAATCATTTATCTCCAACACACTGCCAAATTGAGAGCTCTTGAACACATACACACTCTACAGACTGATGATAATATCACACAGACCATCTACACTGATGGATCTCTAAACACCGCCTGTGGGAGGGCTGGAAGTGCTATTGTTGTGACTCAACCTGACGGTAATATAATTGAGAAAGGAGTTAGAATTAACAACTGGGCATCCACTCTACAAACTGAATTAGTTGCCTTACTCACAGCTATTGAATTCATTGAAACCACTGTTACTGACAGTCTCATCATCACTGACTCTCTATCCTCACTACTTGCCCTTGGCACCCTCGACTCAGGTTGTCACGCTCTTGTCTCTGAAGCCAGACACAAAAAATATGGTAGAGAGAGAGAGAGAGAGAGAGAGAGTGTGTGTGTGTGTGTGTGTGTGTGTGTGTGTGTGTGTGTGTGTGTGTGTGTGTGTGTGTGTGTGTGTATAATAACCTCCATTCTCTTTATCAAGCGTTATCAATAATTTTATCATCACCTCTCAGTTTGTTGTAATCTATAAGAGACCGATCGTGTGGTTAGGTTAGGTTAGGTTTATGTAAGATGATTCCACAGACTGTATCTTGGATTTTACGTTTTAACTAACATAGTCTTTTGACTTAGACTTTTCACTTAAGACTCCTGACTTAAAAGTTTCTACTAACACGGACTACTGACTTAAGACCTTTTGACTGACACAACCTGCTGACAGACGAGGATGAACTCACCTCTAATCTATATGACATGAATACCTCACCTCTAATATACCTGACGCACGTAGGACTCACCTCTAATCTACCTGACATGTATTACTCACCTCTAATCAACCTGACACACGAAGGACTCACCTCTAATCTACCTGACATGTATTACTCACCTCTAATCGACCTGACATGTATTACTCACCTCTAATCTACCTGACATGTATTACTCACCTCTAATTAACCTGACACACGAAGGACTCACCTCTAATCAACCTGACACACGTAGGACTCACCTCTAATCAACCTGACACACATAGGACTCACCTCTAATCATCCTGACACACGTAGGACTCACCTCTAATCTACCTGACACACATAGGACTCACCTCTAATCAACCTGACACGTAGGACTCACCTCTAATCATCCTGACACACGTAGGACTCACCTCTAATCTACCTGACACACATAGGACTCACCTCTAATCAACCTGACACACATAGGACTCACCTCTAATCAACCTGACACACGAGACTCACCTCTAATCAACCCTGACACACATAGACTCACCTCTAATCATCCTGACACACGTAGACTCACCTCTAATCTACCTGACACACGTAGGACTCACCTCTAATCATCCTGATACACGAGGACTCACCTCTAATCATCCTGACACACGAGGGACTCACCTCTAATCAACCTGACACACGTAGGACTCACCTCTAATCAACCTGCACACGTAGACTCACCTCTAATCATCCTGACACACGTGGACTCACCTCTAATCAACCTGACACACGTAGGACTCACCAATCATCCTGATACACGTAGGACTCACCTCTAATCAACCTGACACACATAGGACTCACCTCTAATCAACCTGACACACATAGGATTCACCTCTAATCAACCTGACACACATAGGACTCACCTCTAATCATCCTGATACACGTAGGACTCCACCTCTAATCATCCTGATACACGTAGGACTCACCTCTAATCATCCTGACACACGTAGACTCACCTCTAATATACCTGACACACGTAGGACTCACCTCTAATCTACCTGACATGTATTTCACCCTAATCAACCTGACACACGAAGGACTCACCTCTAATCTACCTGACATGTATTACTCACCAATCTACCTGACATGTATTACTCACCTCTAATCTACCTGACATGTATATCAACTTCTAATTAACCTGACACACGAAGGACTCACCTTAATCAACCTGACACACGTAGGACTCAACCTCAATATACCTGACACACGTAGACTCACCTCTAATCTACCTGACATGTATTATCACCTCTAATCAACCTGACACACGAAGGACTCACCTCTAATCTACCTGACATGTATTACTCACCTCTAATCATCCATACGAAGGACTCACCTCTAATCTACCTGACATGTATTACTAATCTCAATCTACCTGACATGTATTACTCACCTCTAATCTACCTGACATGTATTACTCAACCTCTAATTAACCTGACACACGTAGGACTCACCTCTAATCAACCAGACACACGTAGGACTCCAACCCCTAATCAACCTGACACACATAGGACTCACCTTAATCATCCTGACACACGTAGGACTCACCTCTAATCAACCTGACACACGAAGGACTCACCTCTAATCATCCTGACACACGTAGACACCCTAATCTACCTGACATGTATTACTCAATTCTCTAACTACCTGACATGTATTACTCACCTCTAATCTACCCTGACATGTATTACTCACCTCTAATTAACCGACACACGAAGGACTCACCTCATCATCCTGACAATAAGGACTCCAATTTCAATATACCTGACACACGTAGACTCACCTCTAATCTACCAGACATGTATTACTCAACTCTAATCATCCTGATGCACGAAGGACTCACCTCTAATCTACCTGACATAATACTCACCCTAATCTACCTGACATGTATTACTCACCTCTAATCTACCTGACATGTATTACTCACCTCTAATTAACCTGACACACGAGGACTCCAGCCCCAATCAACCAGACAAACGCAGGACTCACCCCTAATCAACCTGACACACATAGGACTCACCTCTAATCATCCTGACACGTAGGACTCCTCTAATCTACCTGACACACATAGGACTCACCTCTAATCAACCCTGACACACGTAGGACTCACCTCTAATCATCCTGACACACGTAGGACTCCACCTCTAATCAACCTGACACACATAGGACTCAACTTCAATCAACCTGACACACGTAGGACTCACCTCTAATCAACCTGACACACGTAGGACTCAACTCTAATCATCCTGACACACGTAGGACTCACCTCTAATCAACCTGACACACGTAGGACTCACCTCTAATCATCCTGACACACGTAGGACTCACCTCTAATCATCCTGACACACGTAGGACTCACCCCAATCACTCTGACACACGTAGGACTCCACTTTAATCAACCTGACACGTAGGACTCACCCCTAATCAACCTGACACACAGACTCACCTCTAATCAACCTGACACACGTAGGACTCCACCTCTAATCAACCTGACACACATAGGACTCACCTCTAATCAACCTGACACACATAGGACTCACCTCTAATCAACCTGATACACGTGACTCACCTTAATCAACCTGACACACGTAGGACTCACCCTAATCAACCTGATACACGTAGGACTCCACCTCTAATATACCTGACACACGTAGGACTCACCTCTAATCTACCTGACACACGTAGACTCCACCTCTAATCTACCTGACACGAGACTCACTCTAATATACCTGACACACGTAGGACTCACCTCTAATCATCCTGACACGTAGGACTCTAATCTAATCTAACCTGACACACATAGGACTCACCTTTAATCAACCTGACACACGTAGGACTCACCTCTAATCATCCTGACACGTAGGACTCACTCTAATCTACCTGACACACATAGGACTCACCTCTAATCTACCTGACACACGTAGGACTCACCTCTAATCTACCTGACACACGTAGGACTCACATCTAATATACCCGACAACGTAGACTCACTCTAATCTACCTGACACACGTAGGACTCCACCTCTAATCAACCTGACACACGTAGGACTCACCTCTAATCAACCTGACACACGTAGGACTCACCTCTAATCAACCTGACACACGTAGGACTCCACTCTAATCAACCTGATACACGTAGGACTCACCTCTAATCTACCTGACACACGTAGGACTCACCTCTAATCTACCTGACACACGTAGGACTCACCTCTAATCAACCTGATACACATAGGACTCACATCTAATATACCTGACACATAGGACTCACCTTTAATATACCTGACACACATAGGACTCACCTCTAATATACCTGACACACATAGGACTCAACTTCTAATATACCTGACACACATAGAACTCCACTTAATCAACCTGACACACGTAGACTCCACCTCTAATCAACCTGACACACGTAGGACTTACCTCAATCAACCTACACACGTAGGACTCACCTCTAATCAACCTGATACACATAGGACTTACATCTAATATACCTGACACATATAGACTCACCTCTAATCAACCTGACACACGTAAGACTCAATTCTAATCATCCTGACACACATAGGACTCACCTCTAATCAACCTGATAAATAGGACTCACTCTAATATACCTGACACACATAGGACTCACCTCTAATATACCTGACACACATAGGACTCACCTCTAATCAACCTGACACACGTAGGACTCACCTCTAATCATCCTGACACACATAGGACTCACCTCTAATCAACCTGATACACATAGGACTCACCTCTAATATACCTGACACACATAGGACTCACCTCTAATATACCTGACACACATAGGACTCACCTCTAATATACCTGACACACATAGGACTCACCTCTAATATACCTGACACACATAGGACTCACTCTAATCTACCTGACACACATAGACTCACCTCTAATCTACCTGACACACATAGGACTCACCTCTAATCATCCTGATACACGTAGGACTCACCTCAATTAACCTGATACACGCATCACTCCTAATCAACCTGACACACAGGGCTCTACCTCTAATCATCCTGATACACGTAGGACTCACCTCTAATCTACCTGACACACATAGGGCTCACCTCTAATCATCCTGATACACGTAGGACTCACCTCTAATCATCCTGGTACACGTAGGACTCACCTCTAATCTACCTTGAAGGGGGATGACAGCGCCGCCTCTCACGTTCACATTAAGGTCGCTGAGGAGTGTAGCGATGGTCTGGTCCGTGCCGTTGTAGCTGTCCGAGATGATTGACCCTGAGTACCAATTGTACCTGAGGAGGAGGAAGAGTGGTGAGGGGTAGTTGGAGGAGGAGATGGGAGGAGCAGGGGATAGGAAGGGGGGAAGACAAGCAGGGGAAGTGGAAGATGAGGAGGGAGGGGAAGAGGAAGAGAGGAGGAGGAGGTCGATATATTATGTATGAAGAATAGAATCTCTCTCCTAATACACATACTATATACATGTGTGCTTAACTACATATCATAATCACATATTTGTAAAAGCAAGAATCAAAGTATCAGACGAAGGAAAATAAACAAATATCCAAGGATTAACAAATAAAACAAGAAACAAACAATAAAGAACAATAACAAACAAACAGTAACAATCAATAAACAAGAACAATAACAAGAAACAATCAATAACAATTACAAATACAACAAAAACGAACGATAAACAATAAGAGCGATCAAGAATGTCCTATTTTCAGGTTAAATCACACTTGAAAAAAACAAAGACAAAAACAAAACAAATCTCTCCCTCACGTAAAACCTCCATCAGTTAGATCGGTAATGACAGGCAGCTCAAGACAGACCCCAAGATCCGTGGTTGGGTAGTAATGAGACCTTAACACGCAGGTACTCTTCTTGAGGTAGGTGGTTAGGTTTACAGGGTCAGGTTTGGTTTGCTAGGCAAGTAAGCTGTTTGGTTACGTCAGGTTTGGTTTGGTTAGGTCAGGTCAGGTCAGGTTTGGTTAGAAGATTAGGTTACGTCAGGTCAGGTTTGGTTTGTTACGTGTCAGGTTTGGTTGGGTCAGGTTTGGTTTAGGTTAGGTCAGGTTTGGTTAGGTTAAGGTCAGGTTTGGTTAGGTTAGGTCAGGTTTGGTTTGTTAGGTCAGGTTTGGTTAGGTTAAGTCAGGTTGTTGTGGGTAGGTCAGGTTTGGTTGGTTAGGTCAGGTTTGTTAGGTTAGGTCAGGTTTGGTTTAGGATGCGGTTTGTTAGGTTAGGTCAGGTTTGGTTAGGTTAGGTCAGGTTTGGCTTGGTTTAGGTCAGGTTTGGTTAGGTTAAGTCAGGTTTGGTTATTAGGTGCAGGTCAGGTTTGGTTAGGTTAGGTCAGGTTTGGTTAGGTTAGGTCAGGTTTGGTTGTTAGGTTTGTTCGTATACGTTCGTGAATATTCTGTTTTGTCAGTCACCTTTGGGATTCGCTTGTGTGTAGTTTATTTACATATGTGAATGTTTACCTTTGTGTTTACATTATCATGGCTTTATTCTCTCTTCTTCTTCTCTTCTCTCTCTCTCTCTCTCTCTCTCTCTCTTCCCGTATAGCTACAAGTTTCGCCTGTCCTGTTACCACGGTCTCACACCCAGACCACCAGGGGACCGAAAATGTCAAGTCGTAAGATCAAATTATGTTTTTGTTCATGGCAGCATCTGTGTCACTGTATTATCCGCAGAGACAAACTACTGCGGTCAAATAGCGGGAGAGAGAGAGAGAGAGAGAGAAGAGAGAGAGAGAGAGAGAGAGAGAAAGAGAGAGATTTATTCGCCTTATTGCGTGTGAGATATTACCTCATCCCAGTTGCCGAGAGAAAGAGAAAACGAATGAGACAGAGAGATAGTAGCCTCTTTCAAGTCAGTCAGAGATATTTGCTACGGAGAGAGACAGAAGAGAGAGAGAGAGAGAGAGAGAGAGAGAGAGAGAGAGAGAGCTGAAAGAAAGATGAAGAGAGGAAAAGGATGGAGAGAGAGAGAGAGAGAGAGAGAGAGAGAGAGAGAGAGAGAGAGAGAGAGAGAGAGAGAGAGAGCTGCCTCATCTAGATCACCAAGCAATGTATTCCTCGGTCTTATTCTACACCAGGTAATCACGGAGGCTGGCGTCATTGCACGGAGGTCTGGTCGTTGATAATAAAGTGTGTCTGCCCAGATGACTTAACGGAACACGGAGCTTTAACTACGGAGCATGAACACTGGGTAGGAACACGGAACATTAGAACGGAACAATGTCACGGAGCATCTGTACTTAATATGATAGATAGATAGATAGATTGATAGATAGACAATGAGAGAGAGATGGAGACACAAACAAACAGACAGACAGACAGACAGACAGACAAACAGACAAACAGACAGACAGACAGACAGACGAAGAATTACCACAATTAACTGTATCAACACTAAACTCTCACCTGAACTAATTAAACAAAAAATGCTGAAACGCGAAAACAAATAAGGAGACGATAGCTTATGTGTTTACGGAAATATTAGGTTCAGTCTCCCTAACATCTGGACACTAAGTAGATGACCGAAGATGACTGAAGGAAATGACTAAAGTAAATGACCGAAGATGACTGAAGAAAATTACTAAAGTAGATGACCGAGGATGACTGAAGGAAATGACTAAAGAAATGACTAAAGTAGATGACCGAAGATGACTGAAGAAAATTACTAAAGTAGATGACCGAGGATGACTGAAGGAAATGACTAAAGAAATGACTAAAGTAGATGACCGAAGATGACTGAAGAAAATTACTAAAGTAGATGACCGAGGATGACTGAAGGAAATGACTAAAGAAATGACTAAAGTAAATGACCGAAGTCCCATTTTCTACCCGATGAACCTCTCTACTTAATCCACTTTTCAGTCATCGTCATCACACCGAGGTTTTTCATTCATCACTTGACTGGGAATTTAATGTAATTTTTACCCACTCGGATTAAAAACACACCTCAGATTTAATCCCCACAATAGTCTAATTAACTGGATTATAATCGGAACCATGAAACGAGTAATCAAGAATCAAATTACCTGATATACTAATTAGCTCCAGAGAGAGAGAGAGTGGAGTGTCATTAGCGAGGTTCTGTCCAATTGGAAACCTTATGACCGGAGGTGTCTTGTGGACTACTCAGAGACGAGACAATACCACCGTGGCAATATAAAAGGTGTGTGTGCGTGTGTGTGTGTGTGTGTGTGTGTGTGGCAATCAGCGTCATGTGGTGTGGCAGGTCGATATATGATACTCTGTTTCCTCTGAATTGGCTTGTCTATAAAAAAATTTTCTTCCTTCCTTCCTTCCTTCTCTTCCTTCCTTCCTTCCTTCTTCTTTCTCTCTCCTTCTACCTCATCCCTTTCTAGTTTCACCCCCTCTTCCTTTCCCTCATAAGTCCACCATTCCTCCTGCCTCCTAATCCACCACCTCACCCCCCCACCCCCCACCCCCACCCCCTCCACATCCCACCACCCACCTCACCTCCCCACCCCCTCACGCCCACCCACCACCACACCCACACACGTTGAGGACACTGCCCCCAGAGACAGTTGGTAGGCCCCCCGTCAGTGCCCTCCCCCCAGCAACAGCGTGGGACCTTTCAGTTGATCGTCATGTTTGTCTTTCCTCCCATCAGCGTTTATTCTTTGAGAATTTATTGCCTTGATTTTGAGGATTTATTGCCTTGACTGAGAATTTATTGCCTTGATTTATGATTTATTGCCTTGATTTTGAGAATTTATTGCCTTGATTTTGAGAATTATTGCCTTGATTTTGAGAATTTATTGCCTGATTTTGAGAATTTATTGCCTTGATTTTGAGAATTTATTGCCTTGATTTTGAGGGATTTATTGCCTTGATTTTGAGGATTTATTGCCTTGACTGAGAATTTATTGCCTTGATTTTGAGGATTTATTGCCTTGATTTTGAGAATTTATTGCCTTGATTTGAGGATTTATTGCCTTGATTTTGAGAATTTATTGCCTTGATTTTGAGAATTTATTGCCTTGATTTTGAGAATTTATTGCCTTGATTTTGAGGATTTATTGCCTTGATTTTGAGGATTTATTGCTTGACTTTAGGATTTATTCCTTGATTTGAGATTTATTGTCTTGGTTTTGAGGATTTATTGCCTTGATTTTGAGAATTTATTGCCTTGACTTTGAGAATTTATTGCCTTGATTTTGAGGATTTATTGCCTTGATTTTGATAATTTATTACTGTATGAGAGTTGTTATTAATATCTTTCGCTGTGATTTTTGCTGCTGTTCTCGGTGTTTTTGATGTTGTTTACATAAATCACTGTTATTTATTGCTGTTAATACGCTTCTCTCTGTTGTAATTGTCAATCACTCTCATTACGTCATTTATTCCTCTTTTCGTCCCATATTTATTAAAGTTCCTTATTACTGCATTTATCCACTACTTAATTACATCCAGAATAACAGATAATTACTCAAAACTCGCCAGCGTATAATTACACCTGGCGATTAATGAAGATTATAAAACACATGGAACTATCCCAAGAGTCATTAAGTACAGGTAATTACGGTTAAGCTACAACTCTTTGAACCCTGGAACCTAAATTACTATTATTAGCTGCTATTTCTTTTTATCGTTATCATTGTTGTTGACGTAATTGGTGTTCCCCGCCCGCTACCGTATTCGTCAATCACTGTTATTGCTGGCGGGGTAATTGCTGGCGTTATTACCTCATTAACAGAATTTTTTTTTTTTCAACAGGTATTAAATGGTGATTAATGTTTGTCTTCGGGTCTCATAACGTGTGTGTGTGTGTGTGTGTGTGTGTGTGTGTGTGTGTGTGTGTGTGTGTGTGTGTGTGTGTGTGTTTTCATAGCGCTCACGAACGCAAACTAGATACATAAACACAGCGACACTTGATGTATTTTCAGACACCTGTAAAACATATATATATGCAAATCTTACTGAACACAGGTATACAGGTACACGGTCACATACATACATACATACATACATACATACATACATACATACACTTAATCTACATTCACCAACACACAAATGTGGTTTAACAGTGTGAGGGTTTAAGAATTTTGTTGACTGGTTTAATTACGTAAGGTAGATATTGTAGCGTACTTAAGACTCTATAGCGTGAAAGCTGAACTAGTATAAATATTTACCTGTGAGAATCGTTACCTGGGTGGATTGGTTTCTTCATCTGTTGGGGTGAGAACCATCTGTGGAGGTTGTGTACATTAAACTTGACTAAACTTTAAATATGTCGACCACCATCTGAGCAGACGGAC